TATGTTATACGTTCAAAAGATCTCACTAAGGCTACCGTGATCTTTACTCGAGGATCTTACTGAGATTTCACGCTTTCCTACACTAAAGTACGACTCAGTTCACCTTCCAACTTCCAAGAAAGCAATTTTTTTATCTTTCTTCCTTCTTCGCGCATACGGAGGTGGACATAGAAATCAAGGGAAAACGAGAAAGGAGCAAATTTTATATTTTATATGCTTAATCAATTATTCTATGGCCATAAAAAATGGTGTCCATTTCAATTTGTGCCATAAGCTGTTATTTCCGCGAATTAAAATAAAACTAACTAAAACGTACCTTTTGTACTACTTTATAATACACGAGTTGTACTCTACATCAGTCTTTTTTGAGAAAAAGGTGCTTCACTTTTTGAGTTATACGGCTACCAATATCGCTGCTCAGCATACGAACAGTTTAGGTTCAATGCATATCTCAACTAAATTTTATATTGAAAAAACGGAGTAAGAAGGAATAGAGAATGACTTGAGCGCGACAGAAAGAGTACACATTATTACATACTCACAAAAAGAAGGAGATTTTATTGTTTAAACAGAAAAATAAAAATTTTTCTTATTAGTCAGGGACACCTTTTCAATTGTTTTCCGTGCTTTTTCTCAGTTATTTCTCAGTCATTTCTGGTCGGAAAAACATGGTATCGAAATCGGCTTCTGACGTGAGACACATTTGCTGAGAACTCGGTGTATTTCAATGTAATTTAATATAGAACACTTCCATTTTCATTTCAAATAATGAAATGAGCCTTTTTATGAAATGACCACACAGGAAACGAATTTCTAAAAAATAACCTTCTTGCATTCATTTATAAAATAAAACATCAGAAGACTTCTTCGGTTGACTTTCTTTACTTTTCTGTGTACAGAATGAAAAACGAAATCCATCCATCAATCAATCTTGTTGCCTAAACAAACAGAAAAGGTAAGAAAACAAACGCCGTTGAAGTAGATCACAATTTTGTCGCGCTGATGCTGTTAAAGTAACACAAAATTTTCGCTAAAGTGAAAAGTTACCGTCACTGAGGTAACCAGTAACATGAAAATTTGTATTCACTATAAAAAGCAATGACAACTCATCTCCTCCGTAGTAGTTGTCAATTTCTGCTGTCAACAGTTCCGTCACGAGCTGTCTGGTACCGATTATATGACCATTTACTCCATAGTCAGGAATTTTCCGTTACTAGAACTTGGTAACATACTTCTCTGGCAATGGTGACTTCTCAAATCTTTATTGGTTTTCCAGGCAACCAACAACCTGCGAAACCCGAAAAAGCCTTCCGCATTTTTTTAAAAATCCTCAGTTTGACAAAAAACTAACACCTAATTCAAAAATCGACGCCGGTCAGTGGATGTATTTTTTTTTCCTCTTTTAAACAAAAAAAGAATGAGCTCTCTATGACAAACCGCTATTAAAAATCTTGGGGTGCACTTCAGGTGTAACTCTTATATAGCGAAAACGCTATGTTAAATGCTGTATGAAATAGTCGATTTTATGACTTCTAGGAAAATGTCTGTAACTTTTCGATGCAAGGTCATACAGAGTTGTGCAAAGTCTTATTTTGATCGAAACGTTTGCTCTACAAAGCTGTGTGTGCAGAAAAATTTTAATTGTATAAGTATCCAGGAAAAAACCATTATTTGAAGACCCATTTTTTCGAGGCTCTTAGAAAACTTGCTCAAAATCCCGGAAAAAACACTTTTATAACCGAAAGCAATACGGATTCTGGAAGTAGACACTTCAGGCTATCTTTTCATGTGCGTATCTCAAAACCGATTTTTTGACCGAAAATCACTATTTCTGAGGGGGGATGGGGGGGTTGGCCCTTAATACCCTTTTCTTAAGCGCGTGAATAGGACTTTCTTAGCGCGTGACAACAGCGTCGTATCTATCTTTGTATGCTTACGATTGGTTCACACGTTCAAGTTCTATAACCGCTATGGCTCATATCCCGGGGTGATCAACTATGTATTACCCTTTTCTCTTACTGTTTTTCATCTCGTCTTTAGGTGTATGACAGCTGACAGTTCAAAAGAGCTGGTGAGCAGCTCCAAAGAACTGGTCTGAGTTCTTTCAGCTTTTCAGTAGACATATCGATAAGCCTAGTCCTGATTAATTATTAGCTGAACCACCTTCCGTTCAGATAAATCAGCTGGTGAATAGCTCCAACTCCACGAGCTGAAATGCAGTTGTGAAATACCTACTCATCTTATGTTTAGATGAAACCAATAATAAAGACCACCGCGCGATAAAAAGTAGCATGCCCGTGAGATGTAACCCACTCAGTCAGACAAAATCGATAAAAAACGCGTTTTTATCGTTTAAATGTGCGCCCTTCAAGCTTTTAAAAAACCTCTTTTTTTTAAGAAAAAAGCCAATTTAAAGACCATAACGCCGACAAACTTGCTTTTTCAGCATTAAAACGTGTAAAAACGAGTCCTTGTCTGCATGAGCAGAAATAGAGTCGGTACCGGTACGGCTTTCAGATAGGTGTGCTCTTCCCTAGAGCACATGGGTCGTCGGCTTCCAGATAGGGGTGGGCAGTTACCGTTACCAGTAAGTTACTCTACCTGGTAACTGGTAACTGTACCAGTTTTCGCTCTTGGGTACAGTAGCTGATCGTTGACGGTAGCTGATGACCCATGTACTCTAGGGACCTAGAGTACATGGGTCATCAGCTACCGTCAACGATCAGCTACTGTACCCAAGAGCGAAAACTGGTACAGTTACCAGTTACTTGGTAAAGTAACGGTAACTTCCCTCCCTTGCTTTCAGACGAGCCGATCTGTCTATAGATTGGTCCATCTTAAAACTTATTAGAAACTTCTGTTGATCTTAATAGTATCTCATACAGCATGTGATTTGAAATTTTATTAAAAGTTGGCTGTGTCGAAGCACTATCCAGAGATGGAATCATGCCGGCAACCAGTTAGTCTAGTGCGGTTTTTCGAGAAAGGCTGCCCAAAAAGGATTGAGAAGAAGAATGATTGACGAGGGAACGTATCCAACTGTTCAGGAGTTGTTAGCTAATTTTTTGGCGATGGATAGAACACATGTAGAGTCTAAGAGAATAAGGGCCGATGAGCCCTCTTTGTCAAGATATCGAGTTTTTAACAGATTTTTCCTATAGAAACCCAATTTTCTAGAAAAATCATATTTTCAAATTTCGACCTGAAACTTTGCCTACATCAAGGCCTCAACTGGACTAGTCTCGAAAATTTGTTTAGAATTTTTGGACAAACTCCCTCCGTGATATGAGTTTCTCGAAATATAGACGCTTTTCCATAGCTATAGTATAAAACATGGATATTTTGAAAAACTCATATCTCGGAGCGGGTTTGTCCAAAAATTCTAAAAATTTCTTTCAAGCGAGTCTAGGTGAGGCCTTGACGTGCGCAAAGTTTCAGGTGAAAATTTGGAAATATGATTTTGCTGGAAAATTGGGTTTGTGTAGGAAAAATCTACTAAAAATTCGATAACTTCACAAAGAAGGCCCATTGGCCCCTATTCTCTTAGACTTTTTCTATTCTACATGTGTCCTGTTCATCGCCAAAAAAATTAGCTAAAAAGCTCTTGAAGAGTTGAATATGTCCCCTCGTCAGCAACACGAATAACATAATTCTGAATACTTTTCAACTCCTTATATCGCCATTATGAGCATAGATTTCAGAGCTAAAAACTCAATTTTGATGAGTCGATGAACTTTGAACATGTTAAAACATCTTTCTTTTCCTTTTTTCTCGAATGTTTAACAATTAAATTTTTTCCATTATGTCTATCTGTTAATTATTTCTTTTCACGTTCCGGTATTCTTTTTCATTCCCTCGCTTCGTTCTGTATTCTTTTCGCTCCACTTCCATTTCTCTTTTTCCATGCTTCGTTGCAGTTGCAAACTGTTGCTTTGATATATTTTTCTCATATGATTTAATGAATTGTTCCTTCTTCTATCTAGTTAGTAAGTTTGACTTTGTTGATAGATAGACAGATATTCTTATGTCCTCCAAAAATCTTAGGAAAATTCTTTACTTCAAGTAAAGTGAGTGGGTAATATTTGAAATCAATCAACTATGTCAGTTCACGCCATCGAAAATAAAAAAAACAAATAATGATAGCGGCTAATTATTAGTTTGTTCTATACAAATATAGATTAGCCTTAAACAAAGTATAGAAATAAATTACATCCGATTTATCTGTGAGTCACTTTCTGTACGTATTCACGCATTGCTAGATACGCAGGTTTTTGAATAAACAATCTGTGTAAAAAAAAACTACAGTTCTATACTTTAAGCTTTCTTGCGAGCTTGTCATGATGACTGTTCAGTTTTATTCTCATCGTGTATCACTGTCATATACGTTCTTTATTATCTATTCCAAGCTACACATCAAAGTGTTTTCGTAATTCAAATTCAAAAAATTAAATGAATTATGAGAAAACGTTATCAGTATAGTTCGAAATAGAATACCAGGTAATACAACTGTCGATTTTTCTTAAACAGATCGCTTAATCACAAAAAGCGCACATGTAAAAACGCGTTTGAACTGTTAAACGATTTCCAAATCGCAAAAAGCGCACATTTAATGCGTTTTTTTATTGATTTTGTCTGTCAGGGTGGCATGACTAGCGAAAATGGAGGCAGTGATTATGCAAATACTTTTGTTTTTTATAGTATTACCAGCACTCCCGGAGTGACAAGAGTACTTGATGAATATAGGGTTGCTTTATGGATGTTACATCATTTTCATCGTTTTGATTCAATTTTTCGATTCAGAAGGACTGACTTTTTTTGTATCCACTTATGGTGCATATCCTAATGACAATATTGATGACACAAGGGCAACTCAGAATGCCATTAATGCCGCTATATCCCTTGGACCAAACAATTTTGTTCTATTTCAGTCCGGTACATATGACTTTACATCAACTGTTAACATTTATAGCGCGCCTAGTTTGACAGTCATAGGACAGGGGATGCAACAAACACTACTGCTTGTCCATTCACCAACAGCACTATTCCAAATTCTCAGCTCCCAACAAGTGACGATTGGCTTATTTGCCATCGATTTCACTCCGCTGCCATTCACTGCTGGCTATGTGGTGAATGTGGCAACGAGTTATCTCGATGTACAAGTAGTACCACCTCATCAAACTGATGTCGGTCAACAAGTGGGAGCGATTCTTCGATACGATTCAACACTGATGAGACCAGCCATTGGTCCTAGAACATATGAAATTTATCAGACACCGCCATCAAATGCGAATACTAGCTTAGTTTCGAATGGTATATTGCGTATTCCTTTGGCATATTCTACGCTCTTTGCTGTTGGCGACGCGATTATAGCTCGCTACTCTTTCACCACCCATGCTTTTTACGGTCAGGATGTGACGGATTTCACTATTCAATCAGTTACTGTCTATACAGCTTGGTACATGGGTATTTATACATCGCGAGCAAAACGTTTAAATATGATCGACTACCATGTAAAACCGCGCAATGGACGCTGGATGAGTACGTCAGCAGATTGTATGCATTTTGGTGACAGTCGGATTTCTATTAATATATTCGAGTGCTCATGTGAAGCGCAAGGCGACGATGGATTGAACGTACAAGCATTTTATTTTACGGTCATACAGATAATCAATTCGAATACATTAATTATTCAAGAAAATAATTGGCCTGATACACTTAATGTTGGCGTTGGTACCAATCTAGCATTCAGTACTAGTCAAAGGCCATTTACAGTCTACGCAACAGCGACAGTGGCTTCATCGTCCATCAATAACGCGACTTCACAATTATTTACGTTCACCAGTCCAATCAATGTGAGTGTCGGTGATAAGGTTTGTGTCGCTGATGCACCCACATTAACTATACAGAATTTGATTGTGGCCAATAACAGAGGGCGTGGTGTCCTGTTAGAAACACAAAATATTCAAATCACTCAGTCGCTGTTCAATGGGACCAGTGCACCAGCCGTGTTATTTCAACCATCGCTCTATTGGAACGAGGGTCCTGGGGCGCAAAACGTGTTGTTGAGTCAGAATGCCTATATTAACTGCAATGAAGGACTTTACCAAGAAGAAGGAGTGATAGCATTTCTGCCTGATCCAGTTCAGTTAGTGCCGGTTATGTACAACGTTCAAGTGATATCATCGACAGTTCTCAATGGACAATACAGTGGGGGGATGATACAATGTACCAACTGTGGGGGTATATCAATCAACGGTAACTATCTAGCTACGAATAGTTCAACGTCTCTCATTACATTATGCAATAGCCAAAATATATCTGCACATAATAACACTATTATCAACAATCAATTAGTAATTAGCCAGTACTATTCATATGACACTGCAAGTCCATGCATCGCAAACTTAAGTGGTCTAATTAATTTACCTGCATCAGCATTTAATTCGTCATTTCCTTCGCCCGTCAACGCAACAGCCTTAAGCATTCAAGTGTATATTAACCAAATTGTTCCGGGCAAATCATCTGCTGGCCGCACTTCTGTTGCTGAAATACATTTATTTATGTGGAAGAGAGCTATACCTTTCATTTTGGAACCGTGTTGGATGCTTTTACATCGCCTACATTCGACTATTTATTACTAAATGTGAGAATTTAACATCTGACACATGGAAACAGAATTATATGTCTCGTAAATGATCTCACATTTGAACCGCATTAATTTTTACGTGACAATATATTGTCATGAATATCCTTTATAGTTTCTACTAACAGTCGAAACGTCTTCAATCCGCAAACTGTACAGAAGTTTTTTCATTTTTAAGGTGCTCCAAATTCAAAATTATAGCACTATTATATTTTTGACTGAACCATACATCATTCGATAGAGAATTTTACGCTGATCAAGATTATCTGGTTTTTAGCCTTCCCAGTTCACATTATCGGTGGAAAAAATTCAAAAAACTTGACGCACCTCTTTTTTCGAAAAACCACTAACTTTTTTTAAAAACTGAATAACTTGGTTCGATCTCATTTCGAAGCCGTGAAACTATATTTTTCTTATTCACCGTTGAAAACTGCATCTAGAAAACTGTATTTCAAGGTTCAACACCAAAAAATAT